TTTTTTTTTTTTTTTTTTTTTTTTTTTTTTTTTGGAACCAACCGGGCCGGCTCATTTGGTACAGCCATGGAATTTTTAAATACAGAGCTGAGTTCGAATCCAGCTGGAACCGAGATGAATGAAATATATAATAAAATAATTCGGAATTACCTGGGTAGAGGTCAGTTCGACCATGATATCTCAAGGCCGTCATCCCTTTTTTTTTTTTTTTTTTTTTTTTTCAATTGCTGTATTCTGGAATCTAAAGCTGATTCTCGAAATCTAGAATACTAGAAATTTACGGCCGCTGATTCTCGTAATAATCAACGGTGGGCTGCGTACAGTAGGTTCGGAGAATCTGGACCATTCATTTCTGGCCATTGTTTTGTCATAAAATATGTCGACCGTTCATTCGTGAGGGATTCATTTTCTGGGTGAAATTCCAAAATAAATAAAATAAAAAAAATCCGGGTGAAATCTGCGGTCCAAAATGAAGTACACCGGCAAGCAGGGTCCCCGCCAAGGTTTTGGACTCTTTTTTTTTTTTTTTTTTTTTTTTTGAAGGCAATTGTAAAAATCTCAGTTGGTACAACCATGAGCTGTTGAAATGCGGACCTGAGTTCGAATCCAGATTGAATCCTAGATGAAGGAAAAAATAAAGATTTTTTTTTTTCCCGTATTTGTGTTCATTGAAGTAAAAAAGATTCGCCAGGAATGAAACTGAAATTTAATTTAATATTTAATATTTATCATAAATTTAGGTTTTGATTTTGTGAAATTTAATTCCAGAAACAGAAATATTTTGACCGAATTAGGTTATGATTATAGACTAAATAAAATTTATGAGACAGAAATCGCGGGAATACTCAGAATAGCAGACCGAATTAAAAAAAAAAGCAAGGTATTTTTATTTTCTTTTTTCCTTTGACCCATCTGCGAATATGAGCTGTACTTTTTTTTCTTTTCCCTACCGTAAATATTTTTAATTTTTTTTCCTTTCTTTTTTATTTTTCCTGGAAAATTCTGACCTTTTTGTTTTTTTGGAATTGTTTTTTTTTGTGAAACTTCTGACCTGTGCATGACAGGACTCTGCGCAGCAGCAGCAGCTCCGTGGTGGTCCCGCAAGCCTCTTTCACGTCTTATCCGGACTATGCTGACTCAGCAGGCTCTCGTGGAGCAGGGATAAGGTCAGAGTCCACGTGGACTCCGATGGTTTCCCACCTAAATGACGTTTGGTCAATCAGGTTTGTGATTTTTTCGAAAGAAATTGCGGTATTTATTTATTTATTTATATATTTATTTTTATTTTTAAAGCTGAGGTAAGAATGACCCAGAGCACTTGAAGAAAAAAGAGGAGGAAAAATCAATCAGGTGCTACCGTGCTAGGCTACCAGAGTGGCCCCGGACCATTTGCCCTGGGCGGGGGGAAAAGAAAAGAAAATAAATATTTTTTTATTTTAAATTTGGTAAAGAATTTCGATGCGACCTTTGGGCAAAAGTTGTTCATTTGATTTTTCTGCATAACATTTTTTTTGCTGGCACCTCCTTTGGTCCTTGCACGACTGGGCCGCCCGGGCAAACAAGGTGACCCGGGCGGCCCGGCTGGTAGCCTAGATCAGGTGTGTATTCGTTTGTTTGGGTGGATGGGTGGGGAGTGTTTGTGTGTTTGTTTGTTTGTTTTTTTTTTTTTTTTTTTTTTTTTTT